AAAAAGAGACTTTTTTGGACAATTTGCAAAGTTTTAATTATACAAACAAAGCTTTATACAGGGCGCATTGGTGTCACTTTCTGTGCATGCTTGGCTCTCCAATAAGAAAGACTAGCACTGGTTGGTTGGTATATCTAAAAACAGGCAGCTTTGTTTCCATGAATGGAGGGGGGATGCTGTTAGGGAAGGAGCAAAGTCCCCCTGTTTGCTGGGTTGGACTCCAATAGCAGGGAACAATACCAGAAGCAGAGTCCAGGCTGAGGTACAAGATAGGGTGATCCAAAATGCGTTGTCAGAGTATGAGAGAATCTGCTTTATTTTTTACGTTCAGCTCACGGGTTGAAGGCAAAAAATAGAGCAGTGTATGGCCCGCCTAAGGTGGGACATCAATGTCCTGGAACTCTCCCCTCCCAATAGGTGTGAAGGACACAGGATTTCAGAGTTCTGGATTTGACTATACAAGTCAAGGGAATGGGTGAGGAGAGATGATCTGTGTAGTTGACGGGAGCTCCTCACCCTTCCTTTGTGTAGCAAGGTATCAATGAGAACATTTTTTGGAAAGACTAAGTGAGTGTTCTTTCTAAGAAAATGTATCATTAACAGTTTTATACAGACCAGGGAGAGACATTTCGGCCTCACGACCTGTTTTCGCAGCCAGACTACAGAAAGGGGGTGGAGGCAGGCAGCGAGTATCATAAACGGTGAGGCAAGCCAAGAGTCGATAACCAGGAGATCCAAATCGCAGGGAAGGGAAACAGGAAACAGGAAATGAGGCGTCTTAGCTGCTTTGGGAATGGCAGAATAACTCAGCAACAAGTCCTGGCTCTGGCTGGGATTTAAACCCAGTAGGGGCCAGCGACGCCCCCGTTGTCTGGGCAACGAGGAAGTCACAGGTCCCTGCGAACCAATGGGACGGCTGGGAGAGAAGGAGTGCTCGCAAGGCCCTCCCCGGCAATGACCAGCACCCCGAAGCGACTAAGAAGTGACGGCAGTGCCACGTGCTCACGCACGCATGTCATGCATGCGTTTATGTGCACACCTGCAGCCTGCCGCCGGGCACCATGTTGGCTCTAGTCACAGGGATGGCTACTTTATAACAAATGCGGTTCATGGCAGAGAAGAAACTAGAGGGATCTGCGACTAGCGATGAGACTGATGACTCCTTCCGGGCATCTGACTTTAGATCTTCTAGACTGGAGACTTTACAGGGGTTCAGTGTTAGCATCAACTGGAGGTTTCCAACCCTTCAAAATACAATACTGGATCTGTGCTATCTTCGCATGCAGACAGATGTTCTATGTTTTATTTGCCCCAACAGCCTCCCTTGAAGGCCAATTCTGGCCACAATAAACTTAATGCAATTCAGTAAGTTGTAGAGGCCCTTTGCTCTGAACCCACCAGCCATGATCATATGTTCCTCCTTCTCCCTGCAGATCTTCAGTATACCTGCTTGTGGAAGTCCAGTTCCCACCATACATCCGTGCATCTCTGCCCCCCTCTCCTCCTGGCCAATAACAAAGCAAATGGCCCCGGGCTCCATTTAGTTATTGCCCATTAGGACAGGGGATCAAACATAACCCCCTTTCTGTAGTCTGGCTGCGAAAACAGGTCGTGAGGCCGAAATGTCTCTCCCTGGTCTGTATAAAACTGTTAATGATACATTTTCTTAGAAAGAACACTCACTTAGTCTTTCCAAAAAATGTTCTCATTGATACCTTGCTACACAAAGGAAGGGTGAGGAGCTCCCGTCAACTACACAGATCATCTCTCCTCACCCATTCCCTTGACTTGTATAGTCAAATCCAGAACTCTGAAATCCTGTGTCCTTCACACCTATTGGGAGGGGAGAGTTCCAGGACATTGATGTCCCACCTTAGGCGGGCCATACACTGCTCTATTTTTTGCCTTCAACCCGTGAGCTGAACGTAAAAAATAAAGCAGATTCCCTCATCGATGCTACGAGCACATTAATCGAGGAATCCCCGCTGTTTCTACTGTATTCTGAGCTCATTGGCTGCCGGCTGTTTGTACTAAGATTTTACGACCAGCTCCTCTGATCGGCTGATTGAGGGATGCCGGCAGCGGCATCCACTACTGCGCGGTTCCTCAAGAATTATGAAAGTCTGAAGAGTTCCTCAAGGCCAAAATTTGCACAGTGTATGGCCACCTTGAGTTAATGATTGGAAAATGACATAGGAGGGTGGAGGGGACACCTATCAATGGCCATTATGGTAACATTGTGGTTTGTTTTGAGTATGGTGCAGCTAAAAGTCCGAGATGATTACAGCCCAGCTATTTTTTTTCTGGGTTTCAACTGAGTAGGTAATAGTCAGAACTTTTGTCAAGTTTTTATTGCTATCTGTGTCTTCATTTCTTGTTCTGATGACCCCTAGACAAATTAGAAGGTATCACCAGGACGGGTAGACACTGAAAGCCATAAATACCTGGCAGATGTCCTAACCCATCCATCCTCTACTA